CCCTGGCTGGGGGTGGGGGGGGGATGGAAGTAATGGGAGGGGGGTTGGGGGGCGAACAGCAGAACCAAGCTTTCAGAGATCACAGCCTTTCCAACCCTAGCTCTCATAAAGAAGATCCAAGTTAAAAAAAAAAAACAAAAACCAAAACCAAGAAACCACAAGCCCCCGAGCCAGACCAATGACTCTCTCTCTCTCTCTCTCTCTCTCTCTCTCTCTCTCTCTCTCTCTCTGTCTCTCTTTCTCTCTCTCGTCCCCCATCCCTCCCGCCGATGTTTTTCCCCACCTCAAGTCGAGAGACAACAGAGCCAGGAAAAAGGGATCGAGGAAGAGAAAAAATAGAGAAGAGGAAGGAGAGGTGTCTCATTAAATGATGGGGAAAATGTCATCTCCCCCAAATCTTTTCCCAGCATCGCCAAAGAAAGCGGCGGCGAGCGGTTCATCCAGAGGGTGAACTGCAGCGCTCAAAGCCAGCCCCTCCCGGCTTGGGTACCACTTCTCTGTGTGTAAGTTTCTCCCTCTTGGCTCCTCCCCTTCGGCGAGCCGGCCCCGCCCCTCTAGCCAGAAACACGTTCTGCCGTCTGCTGATTGGCCGCAGCCTGGCGTAGCTCGGGCTCGAGCAAGCCCTCTCTCCAGATTCCGCGGCCAGTAGTTTGCGGCAACGGGAGGAGGAGCAGCATTGGAGGAGGAGGAGGAGGAAGCTACGGCGGCGGCGGCAGCAGCAGCAGCAGCAGTAGCAGCAGCAGCGGCAGCGGCAGCGGCGGCATCGGCGAGGTGGTAGAGAGACAGACAGACAGACAGATAGACAGACAGACAGAGCGAGAGAGGGAGAGAGGGAGAGAGAGAGAGCGAGAGAGGGAGAGAGGGAGAGAGGGAGAGAGGGAGAGAGGGAGAGCGAGAGAGGGAGAGAGAGAGAGAGGGAGAGAGGGAGAGAGAGCGAGAGAGGGAGAGAGAGAGCGAGAGAGGGGAGAGCCTTCAGCAGTACAGCTCGTACGCGCAAATGCATGGCAGTGCCGGGGTGGGATTTTTAAACGCACCCCAGACAGTCCCTAACTGCTAGTGCCAGGGATTCTGGCTGCCTGAGATTTTGTCAGAACTTCGAGATCTCTCCGCCGGGTACCAGCAGCATCTTCAGCTCCCTCACACATACGCAGACACACACGCGCGCACACGCACACACACACACACACACACACACACACGCACACGCAGATACCTAGAGAGAGCGCGGGGAAGCACCCTTTCCGAAAGCCAGAGAGAGCCGAACGAAAGGAACCTGGCCCTGGAAGTAAACTTTGGCTGCGAGAGCGAGCGAGCGAGCGAGCGAGGGAGGGAGCGAGCCGCGGTAGCCTGGTCGGGGCAGCCGTGCGTAGAAGCGGATGCCTGCGAGAGCTGGATGTGAGCTCTGGGGGATTTGATCCAGCCGCAGCTGCGCCGATTGCGCACCCAACCCCGCCGGAGCCCGAGGTAGAAGGCGAGCCCACACCTGCGGTATCTCAGACTTTCTGTGCCAATCCATATCATTGTGACTTCTCCATCCTCCCTCTCCGATCCCCCCTACTCATCTTACCCCCACCCCAGCTGTTTGAAAGAACTGAGACTTTGGTTTCCTCGGGCAAATCCCCTGGCAGTTGGCTCAAAAACTTGAGGTGGTGGGGGGAGTGTGCGCCGGGGTGCGGCGGTGGTAACTTTGATTGCCCGATCGCAGCCGCCCGCTGCCCTTTGACTCGTTGGGGGCGATTCCCTGCAGGCGGCCCTCCTGTCGGTGGAAACGGACCGACGGGCGTAGGAAAAAAATCCCTTTGCAAACGAGAGCAGCCGCTTTCGCATCCTCTCCCCTGCCCGCTGGCCTGAGCCCCTGGACCCAGGAGCAGCTGAGAAGCTCCGGCGTCTGCAGCACTTTCCGCCAACCTCAGCCACAGACGCGGCTTTCCTCCCCTCCCCTTCTCCAGACGTTAACCAAAATATACCTATTTATCTATCTTTAAAACAAATACCAGCATCCAGACTGACCAAGCCATAAGGACGCGTTTAAAGTGTGCCCGTTTTCTGCAGTAAGATTTGTGCATTTTTGGGGAGGGGGGAAGATACTTGCGCATGCCAGGTGCAAAGGCATCTATTTCTCTTATACAGTGACTGTGTGTGTGCGCGGGGCTCTGTGCTTGTGCTCTTGATCGTGTTTTAGCTTCTCATTTGTTTCAGTAACTTCTGTTTTGGCCTCGGCTGTTCCTTGGACCAGCCAGAAGAAACCCCTGTACTCCCCTGGGCCTCCAACCTTCCTCTCCTCGCTTCCGATTTGGGGGGCTGTTGATCGCCTCTAACTTTAAAGCGGCAGAAAACTGAAACGGGGGTGAAATTGACTGGCTGGGCAGTCGGGATCGAGGAGAAGAGCTGAGCCAGCGCGCTAGCTCTCGCCCTATTTCTGTCTCCTCTCCCTGTCTTTCCCAGCCTTTCCACATCCCAGGCGTTTGGCTCGCCTCCTGATTCTTTTTCGTCCTGCTCAGCGGGACCTATCTTCTCTGCTTCTTCTCCTCGCTTCGTTCCTCCCCACCAAAAAAAAGAGAGGACGAACAACATAGAAAGAAAAATTAAAATCAACAGGCAGACCAACCAGCCAAGTGAAAGGGAGCCCGTGAAAAGGAGAAGTCACGGAGCCAAGAAAAATGGATTCTTTTCTCCCCATGCTCCTCCTCGAAGCTTTGCTGTGGACCCAGGCGGCATCCTTGATCAATTTAAAATACTCAGTAGAGGAGGAGCAGAGAGCGGGGACAGTGATTGCAAATGTCGCCAAAGATGCCCGAGAAGCCGGCTTTCTGCTGGACGCTCGGCAGCCCGCCTTCCGGGTGGTCTCCAACTCGGCCCCCCACTTGGTGGACATCAACCCCAGCTCCGGGCTGTTGGTCACCAAACAGAAAATCGACCGGGACCTGCTGTGCCACCAGAGCCCCAAGTGCGTGATCTCCCTGGAGGTGATGTCCAGTTCCATGGAGATCTGCGTGGTCAAGGTGGAGATAAAGGACCTGAACGACAACACGCCCAGTTTCTCCACCTCGCAGATAGATCTGGAGATCTCCGAGACCGCGAGCCCCGGCACGCGCATCCCGCTGGACGGCGCCTACGACCCGGACTCGGGCAGCTTCGGTGTGCAAACGTACGAGATCACGCCCAATGACCTCTTTAGCCTGGAGGTGAAGACCCGCGGCGACGGCTCCCGCTTCGCCGAGCTAGTGGTGGAGAAAAACTTGGACCGTGAGACCCAAGCCCATTATAACTACCGCATCACAGCCCTGGACGGTGGCGACCCGCCGCGCATGGGCACCGTGGGGCTCAGCATCAAGGTGATCGACTCCAACGACAACAACCCCGTGTTCCCGGAGCCTACCTACTTGGTGAGTGTCCCCGAGAACGCGCCCCTCAACACGCCCGTCATCCGCCTCAACGCCTCTGACCCCGACGAGGGCACTAACGGCGAGGTGGTTTACTCCTTCTACGGCTTTGTCAACGAGAAGGCTCGCGGCCTCTTCCAGATCGACCCGCACAGCGGTCTGATCTCGGTGAGCGGCGCCATCGACTACGAGCAGGGCCGCGTGTACGAGCTGGACGTGCAGGCCAAGGACTTGGGACCCAACTCCATCCCGGCCCACTGCAAGGTCACCGTGAACGTGCTGGACGTCAATGACAACGCGCCGGTCATCAACCTGCTGTCGGTCAACAGTGAGCTGGTGGAGGTGAGTGAGAGTGCCCCGCCGGGGTACGTGATTGCGCTGGTGCGGGTGTCCGACCGAGACTCGGGGGTCAACGGTCGCGTGCAGTGCCGCTTGTTGGGCAACGTGCCCTTCCGCCTCCAGGAGTACGAGAGCTTCTCCACCATCCTGGTGGACGGGCGCCTGGACCGCGAGCAGCGGGACCAGTACAACCTCACTATACAGGCCCGCGACGGCGGCGTGCCCTCTCTGCAGAGTACCAAGTCCTTCACTGTCAAGATCACTGACGAAAACGACAATCACCCGCACTTCTCCAAGGCCTACTACCAAGTCATAGTGCAGGAGAATAACACCCCTGGGGCCTATCTGCTCTCGGTCTCGGCCAGGGACCCGGACCTGGGCCTCAACGGCAGTGTCTCCTACCAGATCGTGCCCTCTCAGGTGCGAGACATGCCCGTCTTTACCTACGTGTCCATCAACCCCAACTCGGGGGACATCTACGCCCTGCGCTCCTTCAACCACGAACAGACTAAGGCTTTCGAGTTCAAGGTGTTGGCCAAGGACGGGGGCAATCCTTCCCTGCAGAGCAATGCCACCGTCCGGGTCATAGTCCTCGACGTGAATGACAATACCCCGGTCATCACCGCGCCGCCCCTGGTCAACGGCACCGCCGAAGTCTACATCCCCCGAAACGCCGGTGTGGGCTACCTAGTGACGGTGGTCAAGGCTGATGACTACGATGAGGGCGAGAATGGGAGGGTCACCTATGACATGACCGAAGGCGACCGGGGCTTCTTCGTGATCGACCAAGCCAATGGCGAGATCCGCACCACCCGGACCTTCGGGGACAGCTCCAAGACCACTTACGAACTCATCGTGGTCGCCCATGACCATGGCAAGACCTCCCTCTCAGCCTCTGCCTTGGTCTTGATCTACCTGTCTCCGGCCCTCGATGCCCAAGAGTCCGTGGGCTCTGTTAATCTGTCTCTGATTTTCATCATTGCCCTGGGATCTATCGCTGCCATCCTCTTCGTCACCATGATCTTCGTGGCAGTGAAATGTAAGAGGGACAACAAGGAAGTCAGGACCTACAATTGCAGGTAACGGCACCTGACCACCCCCCCCCCTTTTGTTGTGGCAGTTTTGGTGATGGTGATGTTGTTTGTACGTCTCTGTGTTTAGACAAACTGCTTTACGAAAACAAAAAAGACTACACAAATGCATAAAGTTTACTTAAATGCTTTTTTTTTTTGAAGGCAGAAAAAGGTTTGTCCCAGCCCGAGGGGATCAATTCTCTGGCTCTGACACTTTGCTGTAAGACAGTCGTTTACTGTTTGCATTCTGTCATAATGATGATAAGCAGAGAAGCAATTATCTTTCTAAAATTTGCACAGCTGTCTCCAAGAAGTTATGGTGGAAAAAAATAGAGAAAGAAAAGAAATAGTTTCCTTTCAAAAAAAATTGAAAATGTACAGAGCCCCAGCAGTCTAGTAACCAGCGACGGAGACTAGCTTTGGGCCAGGTCTGCCAGCTGCCCAGTCCCGGTGCAGGGGATGTGCCCGGGAGGAAGAAGCAGGGCTGGGAGTTTGAGCTGGAATGGGGGAGGGTAGAGAGGGGGAAGAGAGAAGGAGAGGGGCTGTTAGAGAGCCTGGCGTCTGAGCTCAACCGAAGCGAAAAGCTGGATGCAAAGGGAACAGTTTTCTCAGTCATCTGGATGTTTCTAAAGATCTGGATGCTTTGCTGGGGTGTAGACCAAGCACCAAAGCGACTGATAGCACTTTCCCTTTCGTATCTAGGTGGTTATTGTTATTGTTATTTATTATTATTATTATTATTACAACAATAGGGAGCTGGTGGGTGGGGGCCCAATTCCCCTCCAGGGCAAATTGGTGGCGCTTGCAAGGTAGAGGCATTATTAGCAAGGGGCCCCCACCAAAGAATGCCACAATGGATACTTGTGTCTCCCAGTCTTCTGAGGGGTGTGTACGTGGCGCAGGTGGGGGTGGGGGTGGGGAATGCGAACGGGCGAAGAGAAAGGTGAAAACAGAAATCATAGAAGAAATAAGATTTCATGATCCATAGACTAATTAGAGGGTAAACCCAGATACTCTTACGCGGATTCTTCAAATCCAGACGGTGTTTATTATTTTTTACAGCACCACCAAATCAAATGGTTAAAAAAAAAAAAAAAAAAAAGAGGTTTTTGGAGTTTGATGCGAATGACTGCCGGGTTCGTGTGTTCTCCCCCTCCCCCTCCTCCCCGCCCGGACCCCGCAGGTGTGTGTGTGCGCGCGCTTTGCCACACAAGCATTTCTCCTGGATCTCAGTTTGACCATCTGTGCTTGACTTATGCAGCAAGCAATCCGAAGCCGTCTTGGCCTGGGTCCGAGGCAGCGGTGGCAGAGGGGCAGCGGGGCGGCTTGGGTCCGAATCGGCGCTTAGAGGCCGAGCAGCCCGAGTTAGCCCGACAGAGGCGTACCCCCATGAATATCAATGAGGGTCCATAAAGGAGCAGCTGCGGCATCGCCTCTGAACTGGGGCTAATCCTGTTAGGAGGGAAGTGGCCCCGACTCTGCTTCTGCCCTGTGGGGTGGGGAGATCTAGGGAGAACCTAGCTGCTGCGGCTGCGGCTGCCCCTGGCCGGGGCCTGAGCCCAGCAGCCCAGAAGGATAGGGCTTCTCCCAAGTTGTATTTGGCCCACGGCAGGGGCAGGTGATGGGACCCCAGCGCCCTGCCCACCCAGCGCAAAGTGAGAGAGTGTCTAAGCCCTTTGCTAGATGAAAAAGATCTAGAGCCTGAACTCGAGAGAGCCCGGAGCACCCTGCCTGGAAGAGAAGCCCCTGGCTGCCAGAGAGAGCGAGCTCGGTCACATAGAGAGCCCTTGTTGAGCCAGGGGCCAGGCTGGCTGCCCCAGGCAAACACCCGTCTGGGCTACTCTCCCCGCCCCCCCCCCCCCCCCCCCCCAGACGAGTACTCTGCGACTCGGGATGGCTGGGGATTAACGAAGTACAATTCAGTGCCATGGCTGATGAATAAAGGGCAGTGCCCAGGATGCCTTTGCTGGGTACTGTGAATGCCCCTTTGCCAGGCTGCCCAACCTAGGTGAGCAAAACAACTGCAGCTGCCCAGTGATTCCGGGCAAGGATGCTGCCATATCTATATGTATCTGCATTTTTAACAGCCAAGATACTGGGGTGCCCCCCCCCCCCCCCACCAGTCCTAGCCCTATAGCATCAGTGTGCTCTCACTGCCTGTCTGCCCAGGCCCTGGAGAGACTTGAGGATGCTGGAAGCTTCTCAGCTCGAGGGGTGGGCCATGCCCAGGTGGTAATAGCCTCTCAGTGGCAGTTCTTTCCCTCTCCTACAGTCTACTGCTTGGGCTCCTCAGCGAGCTGGGCTCCAGGGGCTGGGCTTTCCTTTTTGGGCAGCCTTAGGATTCTGTCCAGGTCCTCTGGCAGCCCCCCCCCCCCACCCCCAGTTCATAGATGTGCCTTGGGAGATGTTATGCAATAGCTGTATGAATTGCCCTTCCTTTTTGTAGGCAGACAATTCCATTTGGAGAGCAAGACTGCTGCCACTTTCTTTTTCCTTGGAAGGGAAAACCTGTATTATTTATCGTCCCTGCTCTTTTCCTTACTACTGTACAGAGATTGCATTTCAAAACAAAGAGAAGTCCCGTGCTGTAGAAAGTAATAAATGGTTTGGAGAATCTGGCCCCATTTGAATGTTTCTCCTTGGCTAAGCAGCCCAATAGCGGCTGTATTGTTCTGTGCTCATGTCTCTGTCTGTCTGGGTCTGTGTGAATTGAATCGAATTGAGTTCTCTCTGTTCCGTTTCCAGTCCCACTGTCTGTAGGTCTGCCTCAGTGAGAAGCCTGCTGCTGAATGCACTAACCTTGACATTCTCTTGCAGCAGCTGTCTAGCCATCCCTCGCCTCTTCTGCCATTTCATAAAAAGGCCCAAACGGCAAGTGGAGGGTCTGCGGCTCTGTTTCTCCTGGGAACAGGGAGGAAGGCACAAAAGCAGGGGAGAAACGGAGCCTACCGGGACCAGGTACAAAAGACACTGCTCTCCATTCAAGCCACCGTGGGCTGGCAGACACGGGGTGGGGGGAGGGTGGGAAGGGGATGAGACAGTGGCCTGGCACCCATTGCTGTCACCAAGGGGCACTCCAGACATGCTTGGCTGACCAGGCAGGCCAGTGGTCAATGACAGAGGAAGTAAAATGTCTAATGCCCGAACGGGGGGGGGCGTTATTAATTACTGGGTTCATTTCCCCTTTCCTTCATCCCCATATCTGTCCTTCTATAGGTTCTCTCAGGCCCGGTGGCAGCTCACAGATTTGAGCATCTGAGCATTGTGTTGTATCTTTCCAGTGGGCTCCCTTTCCCCCTGCCAAATTATAACTAGCAAATTCAAACTGGAAGAATGGGGGCGGGGCACTAAATTTGGCCTGCAAACTTTGTGGTCCCTGGCTGATTTTCATATGCCAGAAGCAAGAGAAGGAAACAACTCGACGTAATGGGTGCAAAGAAGAAATTGAATTGTCGGAGGAGCAAAGCCCTTTGGGTGGCTGCTCTTTATCACTCAGGGCATATTGCCAGGTAGCACAAGAGGCTCACTTTGCCTTTTCTGTCACACAGGATTGCTGAGTACTCCTATGGGCACCAGAAGAAATCAAGCAAGAAGAAGAAGATCAACAAGAATGACATCCGGCTGGTGCCCCGGGACGTGGAGGAGAATGACAAGATGAATGTGGTCAGCTGCTCCTCCCTGACCTCGTCCCTCAACTACTTCGACTACCATCAGCAGACCCTGCCTCTAGGCTGCCGCCGCTCCGAGAGCACCTTTCTGAATGTGGAGAACCAGGGGGGTCGGAATGCAGGCTCTAACAACATCTACCACCACACCTTTACTGTGCAGAGCGCCCAGCAGCCTGACCTGATCATCAATGGGATGCCCCTGCCCGAGGTGAGTGTGGGGAGCCTTCTGGGCTGCCTGGACTGAGCCCCTTTGTTTACTAGCTGTCCCTCCACCAGCCTGGGTAAGTGGGGCTTTTCAAGGTAGCCCCTTTGGGGCTCAAGAGCCGAGATGGCCCTTCCGAGGTGCTGTCCTCCAGGGTGGCATGGTGCCAGGGTATCTCTGCCCTGGCCTCCATGTTTCACTTGCCAATGACAAGGGCATTTTAAGGGGAAATGGAGTAAAAGAGGCAGAAGTTTCATTTGCTGGCAACACCCAAGGAGCATCAACTAGTACAGGGCTTCTTCCAAAGCTCTGTGGGGCATTGGCCCAGTGATGGACCCTACATTTTTTTTCCATTAAAGATTGAGGTAAGGAGGAAGAGGCCTGAGCCACAAGCTGTTCTGCCTTATTGGCCCCACTTGCTTCAGGAGAGCCCACCATTCTAGCAGGGGCTCTGGCAGGCTGGTGGAAAATGATCCAGGAGAAGTCAAGTTGTAGTGGAATTCAGACTCTACCCTCTATTATGCTGGGACTGTGGTTCCAGTTTGGAAATGATTACAGCATGGAATTTGCCATATTCCCTCTAATTGGCATCTTCCTCAGAGGGTGGTTCAAGGGAGAGGGGCAGGAAGCAAAATTCCTTTACTACTTGGTAGTAGCTCTGGCCGCAGTCGATAAAAGAGGAGGTTAAAACTGTCATTTACAATGTGATTTTTTTTTTTTTTGGATTAACTGGGTATTAGTTATCCGGGTTTGCCATTACCATGGTGAGGTGAAATTGTCATTTACCATGAGGGGTTTTTGGATTAACTGTGGATATTAGCTATCTGTGTCTGCCATTGCTATGGTGAGGTGAAATTGTCATTTACCATGAGGGGTTTTTGGATTAACTGTGGATATTAGCTATCTGTGTCTGCCATTGCGATGGTGAGGTGAAATTGTCATTTACCATGAGGGGTTTTTGGATCAACTGTGTATATTAGCTATCTGTGTCTGCCATTACCTTGAATAATCAAAGGTTGCAAATAGTGTTTTCAAATGGGAGCATTTTCTTAAAACACTAGGAAGGTAGTTTATGGCTATTGCAATGCTGGAGGGTGAGAGATGGGCATAGGTGTGGATGGGTGTCTACATGTGTGTGTCTGGGGGTGGGGGGAGAACGGTAGGTGATGCTTGCAATGCTGTATCTGATTTTGTTTTGTCACTGAGTTGTACTTTGGTCACCAGTCACCTAAGTCATGGAATATCCCAGCTGAAAGGGATTTGGGAGATAATTTAGTCCAACCCCCTTATTTTATAGATTCAAAAAATGAGACCTGGAGCAGGGATGGACGTTTCCCAGTAGTGACTGGTAGGATCAGAGCTAGACCCCAAATCTTCTGACTCCCAGTCCGATGAGTGCTGTTTCTGTTAGAGCAAGGTCTCGTTTGGCATGGCATTCCAGCCTCATTTGGGCAGCGCAGAAAGGATGATAAATGGCTCCCTCATGCAATGGTTGTCCTGCTTTTTCATTCCGTAGACCAATTTGATAAAACCAAAGGTTTCTTGGTATATCTACTCATGCCTACTTGACCCTGAAAAAGATTCCCACCTCACTCATCCACCTATTCATTCAGCAAACATTTATTAAACCTCTATTATGTGCCAAGCACTATGCTAGTTATGGGGGGGGGTTTACAAAAAATAAAAATGGGGGCAGCTAGGTGGCACAGTGGATAGAGCACTGGCCCTGGATTCAGGAGGACTTGAGTTCAAGTCCGGCCTCGGACACATAATATTTACTAGCTGTGTGACCCTGGGCAAGTCACTTAACCCCATTGCCTAGCCAAAAAAATAAAAAATAAAAATTAAAAAAAAATGAAATAGTGAATGAAATGAAAAAGAAAATGAAACAAAAATGAAAAAAAAAACCAAATGAAATAGGAGCTTATGTTATACTGTGTGGACATACTGTTTAAAATAGGTAAGAAATACAGCACAATTTAGAGATGGAAAGAACACTAATGATTAGGGCTGTTCAATTCAATTCAATTCAGTCCCAGCTGAAGTGGGGTTGGACTAGATGACCTCTAAGGTCCCTTCCAGTTGTAGATTCATGATCCTATTGTGCCTTGTACTGTGTTATGTGATGGATATAGAAAGACAAAAACAAAGCTCTCTGCCCTCTTAGTGTGTGCGTGTGTGTGTACGACATTTTAACAGATAAGGAAATGAAATGGTAATTTGAGTCGAGAAGAGGGACTAACAACTGGGAGGTTTTATTTCAGTTCATTTCAATCCAACAGACATTGATTAAGCACATATTGTGTGCCGGGCATTGTGCTTGGACCTAGGGATAAAAAGACCCAAAGCAAACAGTCTCTTCCCTCGAAACGCTTCCATTCTCCTGGTGGGCTACAGAGGAGACCCAAATAAGTACATGCAAAATATATACACAATGAAGACCGAATAGCTTTGAGAGCAGGGGGGAGCATTAACAACCGGGGAGCTAGTGGTGCTGCTGGTGGCGGGGGCAGGGTGGGGGGGGGGGCAGGAGAGGCTCCAGTACAAATGGGAAGAACAGCAAAGCTTTTGGATGAGACACCAGTGAAGGATGTCAGAAGTAAATTATTCATTCCCACAAGAAAGTGAAGCACAGATATAGTCAATTAATCAATCAATATGTATTTATTGAATGCATATTATATGCCCAGTCCTGTGCTAGGCACTGTATAAATATTAATTAGTCTCAGTTAACAGTCCAAGAGACCAGTCCCCAGACTACTGGGAAGGGACCCTTTTGAACCTACGGTGCCTTCTCAGAGCACCCTTTGAGAACCAATATTCTAAATCTCGGCAAGCAGGAGTGGGCACAAAATAGCTGTTTTCCTGTCAAGGAGGGTCTTGATCTTAGTGGCTTTGGCCTCCACCCTGTGGCAGAGTGAAGACAGCCACATTCTTCATCTTACGATGGCCAGGCCAATGAAGAAAGTGAAAATGATCGGTCCAGCTGAGTCTAGCTTGACTTGAGGCACTAGGGAACATAGAACCTGGTGGCTACCATTTCATCAGAGCTAGGCTGGGAATGTGCCTTGGGCCAACACCCCATACTCCAGTGAAGGCAAAGAATTGAATTTGGATCATGTCCTCACCCTGTTTCTGACTTCTGACTCAATGAGCCTGATGGTGTCTGCTCAGCAGATCTCTGAGGGCAGGCTGGGACCTAGGTGTCACGTTAGGTAGTATCCCATAATGAGGATGGTCCCAAATTGGGGAAAGTCAAGTTGGCTGCCTGACTTGGGAGTGGTTATTTCCACTGCATCCACCACGAAGTTCCATATGGGGGAGGGGAGAAAAGGCAAGTATTTCCCTTTTTCTTCTCTAGCTCAAGATTCCTCAAAGAGAGCTGAGCAGCATAAAGGGAGTGATGGCTAAAGTGAGGGTATCTTTGTGACCAAGCCTAAGCACAATGCCACGGGAGTGGTAAGGAGCCGATTGGTGATGCCCAGCCCACTTTTCCAGGCACTTATCGTGTTTATTTTCACTGGGTTTCCTTGCCTCCATCCTGTCTTGGACCTTACATGTCTAACCAAGGTAGCACACATTGTGCTAGGCATGGTGCCTGATACAAAAAGCCAGAAACATAATTCCTGTCCTCAGAGCACTTAGAGTCTAATACAGAGGAAAGGAACAAACATTTGTTAAGTACCTACTATGTTCCTGGAATAGTGTTAAGCCCTTTACAGATATTATCTCATTTGAATAGAACATAAGCTCCTTGAGGGCAGGGACTGTTTCACGTTTGCCTTTTTATCTCCAGCTCCTAACAGTGTCTAACACATAGTAGGAGTTTCATAACCATTTCTTGAATTGGATTAAATTGAATTTGGTTGGGGAGGTTAGCTAAACAGCACAAAATGGCCAGAATTGCACAAGATGGATTTCAGTCCAATGCCAGGTTGTACTCTACAGCCTCCTAGGGCCCCAGGCCTCCCCCTCCCTCCATCTGCCATAGCGGTTACAGGAAAGCATATACAGCCTTTCTGTTTAACTGTCAAGGTTACCCACTTTGATGCTGAATTGGGGAAGCTTCTGCATCAATGCACAAACACAGCCAGCCGATGCCAAATGGAGCTGCCCAGAGAGGCGAGAAGTGAAAGGGCCTTTTAAGGCAATTAGGCTGATAAGGGGGTTGTAATAGAGCACCAGGCCCCAGAACTGGAACTCAACCTGTGGCACTTATACAGAGGCACTGATCTGGACCCGGCCAAGCTGCCAGCCCAGGAGGTCCAAGTCCCAGGGCAAACTTGGGCAAGGAACTTCCTCACACTGGGCCCCAATTTCCTCTTCAGGGAAGTCAAAGGATTGGACCAGGTCATGGACTCTTAATAGGTGGTCCATGAACTTGTTCTTGAAAATATTTAGATAGCTGCATTTCAATATGGTCAGTTTCTTTGGTAATCCTACATATTTTATTTATTATATGTACCAACACAGTGCCTGGTATATAATAAGTGCTTAATAGATGCTCTGTCTATTTATCTACCCATTTAATGCATTTAAAAACATGATTCCTGAGGAGTACCTGACACAAAAAAGTGAAAATCCCTGGACCAGATGATTTGAGGTTGAGTCCGATGTGTTAAGGTCCATAGGTGCATGATGTGTTTGAAGGCTCTCAGCTGAGTGATGTGATTGACTGCATGTCCTTCCAGATTTCCATAGATACCTTAGATGGCAGTTTCTTGTATTCTGAGTGCTGGCCAATGAATAGGGATGGTTGAAATAAAATGGTGGGTGGAGATAAGAAGCACCCTGCTATAAGCCACCATGGCAAAATACAGTCCAACATTCTCCACTGAGTTCTCCAAAATTGCACTGATTCAGGAGGGGTGGTGGAGGCAAAGGATCATTTCCCCAAAAAGATGTGAAAGAACTAGAAAGAGCTCTGAGAGCATGGCCAACTCATGGAGAAGTGGGAAGCCCCAGAGAGCACAGGAGAAAACAGGCTCCCTGGATGGCTGGAGACA